GACAGGAAATGCTTCCTCACACTGTGTAGAGATCCATTCCCCTTAAAGTGCTGCCCTTGGAGGCACATTCGTCTCCTGGGACCTTTGCGAACACTCAGGCAGTTCTTTCCACTGCTACTTTCCACTCTGAAATGTTCAAGTCAGGGCTTGGAGACAGCTCACTCATTAAATGGCTTGCTATGCAAGCACGAGGCCCTGAGTTCGAACCCCGGCATCCAAAGCCCGGTGTGTTAGTAAGTCCAGATCTGGGGACGTAGAGCCAGGTGAACCTGGGGCTTGCTGGTCAGCCAGCCTAGGCTAAGGGGTGAGCTGCAGGTGCCCTGAAAGACGGTCTTAAAAAGAAATGGTGGACAGCAGCAAAGGTTGACCTCTGTGCAGATGCTCACACATGTACTTGCCTAAACACCTGCACGACAACTGTCCAAGTCTATAAAAAGACTGAAGAAGTAATAAAACTCACACACATACGCCTTTCTTCTATGCGCAAGTCACTAATATTCTCCTGTGATACATCTGCTTCTTCATCTGCCCATGTTTTTCTGCCATGAATTATTTGAGAGTAGACTGTAAACATAAAACATGTCACCCGTGATACTCTGGCATCTGTCTACCGAGAATGACAGTTTTATTCTCTACCTAAACAAGCAAGGTTTACAAACAAAATCCCTACTGAAGCCTCCCTAGTTGCCACGCCTCCAATTTCCTTAAAAATCGAGTTGTTTTAAATTTGTTTCTTTTATTTTTTTGTGTTGTGTGTGTGTGTGGGGGGTATTCTTTTTATCTCATTTTTTAAAAATCAAATGCATACACCACATTTACTTGCGAATGCCTCTTTTTTTTTTTTTTTTGGTTTTTCGAGACAGGGTTTCTCTGTGTAGCTTTGCGCCTTTCCTGGAACTCGCTTTGGAGACTAGGCTGGCCTCGAACTCACAAAGATCCGCCTGCCTCTGCCTCCCGAGTGCTGGGATTAAAGGCGTGCGCCACCACCGCCCGGCCCACGAATGCCTCTTTTAATCATATGTGTGTATGTATGTTTGTATGTATGTATGCATGTATGTATATATGCATGAGGCTGGCTTGGAACTCAGAATCCTTGTTTCTCCACTTCCTGAGAGCTGAGATTACAGGTGTTTACCACATCTGGCTCTTTTAGCTTTTTTTTTTTTTTTTTTTTTTTTTTTTTTTTTGGTTTTTCGAGACAGGGTTTCTCTGTGTAGCTTTGCGCCTTTCCTGGAACTCGCTTTGGAGAGCAGGCTGGCCTCGAACTCACAGAGATCCGCCTGGCTCTGCCTCCCGAGTGCTGGGATTAAAGGCGTGCGCCACCACCGCCCGGCTTTTTTTTTTTTTTTTTTTTTTTTTTTTTTTAATGTAAAACTTTCTCTCAGCCTCTTTGTGTTTTTCAAGACACTACACTCCAGAGCCCACTCTCTGTTAGGACTGTCAGATAAGCACTCTGTGTACAGCTGAATGCTCCATCTGGAGACCGCCAGGCTCTTGCTGGTGATGATAGATACGGCAACCATTTGATGAAGGTGACAACTTCCCCTTGTGCAACCAAAACCTCTGCTATGGGGTGATCTTTTAAGACCATACAAATAGCAGCTCCCCAACAACTCTACCGGGGTGCAAACTGTCACCAGTGATCCTTGCCTCAGTCAACAACTGCACATCGATGGTTTCCTAATGCTACCGTTCCTTCTACACGGTTTTAAAAAAATTCCAGTGTATTGTAATCCAGCCAGGCATAGTGTTCCATGCTTTGAATCCCAGCACTTAGAAGGCAGAGGCAGAAGGATCTCTGTGAGTTTAAGACCAGCCAGGGCTACGTAGTGAAACCCTGTTGCAAATATATTCATACATATAAATATATAAAATATATAGATGTATATATTTAAAATCTATTATTTTAGTTTTAAAATACTCAGATCATCCCAAATTTATTTGACTATCCTCCTAAACCTACTCTGTGTGTGTATATGAGAGAGAGAGAGAGAGAGAGAGAGAGAGAGAGAGAGAGAGAGAGAGAGAGACAGAGAGAGACAGAGTCAGAGAGAGAGACACAGAGAGAGACACAGAGAGAGACAGAGCCAAAATCAACATCAGGTGTCTTTATTGATGGCTCCCTTTCTCAGTTTCTGAGGAGGGTCTCTCACTGACCCTGGAGCTCACTGCAGAGCTAGGCCGGTTGTCAGCAAGCCTGGGGCCCTCCTGTCTTCACGTTCTCAGGGAATACAGGCCCGTGGGGCCACACCTGGATTTTGTCAGTTAGTTAGTTTGTTTTTAAGACAGGTTTCTGGAAATCCAACTCAGGTCCTTGTGTGGGCACAGCAAGCACTCTGCTGAGTGGGTCATCTCCTCAAAGCCCCCAGGGTATGTGTTTTTCCACGACTCCTTCAGGTGGGCACTTCCTACCTTTTCGTTTCTAATGGGAGTCAAGACTCACTTTGTACTTTTCCATTCCCAGACTCGAAATCAGCAATGCCTCCAAATTTCAGGACGACCCTTACGTAGGGGACAATAACCATGAAGAACGATTCTTCTGGTCTCTTTTATGTGTCAGTCTCCAGTTTTGGAAGCCAGACACCATTTCTGTCCCAAACGCCTACCAATTGAATAGGTTACATTGTCCCCATCTTCCCATGATTTGGCTGTGTTCCCCTCTACCTGTCTCAAGTCAGCAGCTGCCTCTGGGACCAGAAAGCCCCAGCCTGGCTGTGCACCAGAAATGCCAGGGGCCTTGATTAACACACAGTCTTCAAGGACCCACTCCAGACTTTCTGAGTGAGCTCTCTGGGACAGGGAGTGAGATCCTATTTTGTTTTTTAATATATCCATATTAAATCAATATAGCCACTCCATGGTATACTGTGTTTTTTAAAGGTTGGTGAACCCAGGGCACTAAAGCTCCTTTTCTTCTATATAATCCAATAGTACAAATCTTTGGGGGATATGGAAACAATCACAAAGGTTCTCACTCATGGTAAATCTACAAAGAGCTAAATCTTCATGTTTTTAAAAATGTGCTGCTTAAAATTCTACCCCCTCCTATCTTTTCTATGTCTTTTATGTTTCAGTGTAAGAATCTGTGTTATATTAAAATTTATACTGCTCAATTCATCTCAACCTTCAGTGTGCCAAGGGTCTCATGAATCTTGATTTGTACTATTCTAACTATTTTTAGAATTTACTCTTCCAACTTTGTGGCATCATGGGCCAATGAGATGGCTTAGCAGATAAAGGTGCTTGCAGCCAAGCCTGAAAACCTGAGTTACCAGGAACCCACAGTGGAAGGAAAGAACTGACTCCCAAAAGTTTTCTTCTGACCTCACAAGGACCATGCCATGCAATATGCTCTCAAAGTTCTCTTCCATTGCTTTTCTTCTTTTTTAACTTTGTATTTGAAAAAGGAAAAATCGAACTTACAGGGAACTCAAGATGGCCCAGCAGGTAAAGAGCTTGCCACAAGCCTGGCAGCCTGGGTTTGATCCAAAGAACCACGTAGGAGAGAGCAAACACCTCCCAAGTTGCACTCTGATCTCCACACCCATGCCCTGCCACGCACACCCACACAATGCACACCCACCACATGCACACACAATGCACACCCACCACATGCACACACAATGCACACTCACCACATGCACACACATGCACACTCACCACCTGGACACACACACACATGCACACCCACCACATCCACACACATGCACACACACAAATATGTAATAATATAGTAATAATTTTTATGTCTGTCAAGACTCAGCCATGTATAAAGAGTGAATTATAATGTGTATATCACACCTGAAGAAAGGCCAATATTACACACCGCTATGTTCTCCTTTCAGATAAATCTCACTGATTTGACTGACAACGGGGAGTTTCCAGAGATTTTATATTTTGATTCACTGAGCTCAGTACACATTAAGATTTGAGGACCTGAAAAAGCATTAGGGTATAGTTTACCAGCAAACCTAATAAATGTATTATCACTACTTTACCACTTTCCACAAAATAAAATGTAAAGAAAGAGTAACGAAGTATAGAACAGTGAGAAAGCAATAGCAGAAAAGTTATAGTTTTCTAGAAATTGATTAAAAATATCTATAATAGCCTTCCAGTCTTACTTAAAAGAGAAAGAGAGGAAGTCAGTTTCTACCCTTTCAAGTCTGAAAGGATTTTTAGAAATATTCTTTGGTGCTGGTGAAGGTTTTTTTTTGTTGTTTGTTTGTTTTTTAATTCTTTGTAATTATAAAAAATTGTCGGGCGTGGTGGGGCACAGCTTTAATCCCAGCGCTAGGGAGGCAGAATCTCTGTGAGTTCGAGGCCAGTCTGGTCTACATATCAAGTTGCAGGAGAGCCAGGGCAACACAGAGAAACCCTGACTCAAAACAAAACAAAACAAAACAAACAAACCAACAAAAACAAAACAAAACAAAATTTTCTGGGGCAAAATGGCTCAGCAGGTAAAGGTACTTGCCGTAGAATCCTGACAACCTGAATTCGATCCTGGGCCCCACATAAAGGTGGAAGGAGAGAATTGGCGCCTCAGAGTTGTCCTCTAACCCATGCACTGTGCAGCATGTACCCCGACCCCATATCCACACATCACTGACATACACACACAACGATTTAACATCTAAAACATATTTTCTGTGTTTCTATGTTGAGTCTGTGTTAATGCTGTAAATCAAGAAAAGAGCAACGTGTATTTTAAAATATTGGTTAGAAGGAGGAGAGGGAATTGAATTACTAAAGGAAGAAAATGAGAATGTCTCTTCTGTCCCTGAAAGGAATCCTCAGTGTAAAACACTGCCCACTCACTCAGTGATGTCACAGGGTTTTGTTCAGAGAATGAACAACATTTCTCTTGTGAAGTTTCTCTGACTGCCATAACTGAGTTCAATATAACAGTCAACCTAAAAAGGACAGTTTCATTGCTCCCAAACAGTTTTTCAAGCAAGGAACTTTAAACAGAATCATTAAATACTATAAACTCATACCTTGAAGAACGACGCTCTGGCTTATGTCGCTCGTTGCAATCTGTAAAGAAAGAAGACAGTCACAAGTCAACACAGGCGTTCAAGTCACAGGAAAGAGGCTGTGTGTTCCAGCTGCCACACCACTGGGTCTCACAAAGGACTGTTTGGGGTAGCCGTAATTTTTCCAGTGTTCTCCAATGGAGTGGAGAGGATCTGCCTGACTCGGACATCAAAAGCACACAACGTAGGACACATAAAACTTTTTGATGGTTTGTTACAATCTTCTACTCGGAAAACGTTTCAGATTTTTGTTTTAGAAGATCTGTGCTGTGTTAAAGGCTTTGCTGAAACTAAAAAGATTTAGCTAAAGAAAGTAAGGAAACTGAAAAGCCACAGATTACTCAGCTCCAAAAAATCATTCCATGAATCATGGTTGGCAGGAGCTTCGGACAGAATGGGAGGGAGCAAAAGGAGCATCTGGCAACATCTGCGGACACACCAAGACCAGTACAGCCTTAACTCTCTCCCATCCAGAACATTCAAGAGTGTTTTGTGGATAATTAGCTATAATGTGGTACCTATAAACATTCCAGTTGTCACAACAGAGCAGGATGAGAGAACAGAGATGCTGTTAATTGTCCAAAAGTGACAGGACAACGCCTTACGATGTCCACTGTGCTCGGTGAGAAAGGCAGCTGCGTGTAAGAGTTCAGGGGCCTAACTCGCTCAAAAGTGATTTTCTAGACGGTTACAAAATACTATATGAATCAACTCGAAAACCATCCCATGAACGAGAGCCACAAAACACCCAACTTGCTCATTTGAGTCCAAGTAACAATTATTCCCTGGTAAATGCTTCAAAATAAGAAAAGAAGCTGAAGAAAGCCTCAGTATTATGCAAAAATCAACACTGACAGACATAAACAAACCACAACACAGCCCTACCCAATGTTAAAAGGAACCACACAGGAATACTATCAAAACACACTTTTCTGTAACATCATCTGAATCAATACTAACAAGGTTGAATTAATTTAAAGACAAAGCAAAGATTAGACAACAAGCCCCACCCCCAGTTTCATAATTTCCTTGCTGGTGGAGCAGGACAGGAAGCATGCTAAGACTGGACCCTAAGAAGGAAGGGAGGAAAGTGTAAGGCACACTAAGGTGCATGAATGTTCCATCTTTCTTCATTGGGTTTATAATAAAAAAGAGATACTCTGTTTATTCGTGTGTGTGTGTGTGTGTGTGTGTGTGTGTGTGTGTGTGTGTGTGCAACTTTCACAGGCATCAGCTCTCCCCTTCCACTGTGGGTTCCAGGGACTAGACACAGTCAGCGGTCTTACGTGACAAGAACTCTCACTCACTTTTATCCACCGAGCCATCTCATCCACCCAAGAAATGCCTTTGTAAGCCAAAGAATTAGTATATACTAAGACACCATTTTCCAAACAAGTCGGAGCAAGATTCATGGTAAAATGTGCTTGTTTAGATGCTCTGCCCTCTAAGTGTACAATGCCAATGTTTCTGGGTCTAATTTCTACACACTGAATGTTACCGTACCTTTAAAAATGGTCTTAATTTACTCAGTCTACTCCTCCCTTCAGCAAAAAACACAGCAGACTTTCCACTTGTTGAGTACTGAAGTCATAGCAATACTTGGTATCTTTTAGCCTGCTTGTTTTGTTAACAAAGGTAAAGCCAGAAGCAGTTATCCTCTCAACAAAGCAACAGCTCTTACCTGTGACTAGCAATGAGCTAAAACTCTTCCCAGGATGCCGAGGTTCCAGTGTCGATCCTGGTTTCAGGCAGTTTGTTTATCTAGGCATGCGCTAGCATGATCCCTCACTAATCTTCCCAGTGGCACGACACACAGGAGGAGGGAGAAACAGAGTCATGAGCGTGTAAACAAGCCTCAGCATCCAAGGGCTTCCCTGCAGGGCCCATTCTGATTGGCAGATGTGCTATGACCAGTCTGCACATCTGGAATGTGGCCACTCAGGAAGCGGATGGCTCACAACTCTCCTCCATCCTTGGTTCAAACAGGAAATCCTATGGTCATTTCGGTACTTTCTGCTCTAAGAAAATACAAATGCCTTCCTTCCCACAGTATTATGGATCAGATTCCTATGTCAATACATATGCAGTGTTTATAATGTGTTACTCCTAGGAACCCACACCATGATGATGTGAGGATAAATTATCCACTGCTTACAATATCCCCAGACACTCAACTTTCAACATTAGGAACAAATTGAAAAACACGTCCTCGCCCTGATCCTCTTTCCCCAAAGGATACAGATAAACTCACTTCACATTTGGCGATCTGTCATCTTTTAGCTAGAATGCATATAAAAACGTGGAATGTGTGTGTGTTGTCTGTGTCTTATGTTTATACTTTTCAAATAGCCTCATAGTTTTTGCATTTCTATTTTAAGCAAAGCAATTTTCACAACAGGGAAGAATATTGTGCAACTGTCAAGAAATATATTGTGATTATTTCGGTCCAAAAGCCACGACTGAACAAAACAAACCACGGAGAGCAGAGTCAGGCTCTCCTTCCTTGCCAACAGTAAACAAAGCAGTTGGATAAAACCTTAAGAAGAGCATGAACAGACTGATAGCAAACATGGAAATTTTATCTTGGCTATTCACAGTGCTGAAAGAGTATGATTTTCATTTATTTCAAATTAAAGACTTTCTGATATGTTCTCCATTTCTTTAAAAACCTCTCTAAATTTTAAATAATCGGAAAAGAATGTATGTGCACGGTCAGGCAGTGGTGGTGGATGCCTTTAATCCCAGCACTCGGGAGGCAGAGCCAGGTGGATCTCTGTGAGTTCACGGCCAGCCTAGTCTACAGAGCGAGATCCAGGACAGGCAACAAAACTACACAGATAAACCCTGTCTCCAAAAACCAAAAAAAAAAAAAAAAAGAAAAGAAAAAGAAAAAAGAATGTATGTGCAGGAAGAGGGGTTCGGGGTTTAGGCATATTTGGCAATGATATGAGTAACTATGGACTCAAAGGCTTACCATTGAAGAATCACTAAAAATAAAAAGCCCCAAATATTTATCTGTTAAATACTGCATATCACAGAATGCACCTCAGAATGAAACCTCAGAATGCACCAAGAAAAGGGTGATGGTTTAGGTCATGGTTACACGTGGTTGGATTTTGTAGCTATAATGCATAACCACATAAAGCCTGCTGCATTTGTAGCTACACTGTATAACTAGCATACATACACACACACACACACACACACACACACACACACACACACACACACACACCTTGTATTCTCTGTCCCACTCATTCATTTATTAACGTCTTGGTTATTAAAGCTATTTGAAATGGCAGAATACCCCACCACAAACAGAACAAAGAAAATGAAGCAGAGCTGGTCATCTTCAGATGTTTCTGTAATGTGGGAAGATGCGGAGGGTGGGGTGGGGTATGATGGGGAACCCACGGTACATGGTAGAGACTGGAGAAATAAGCAGGGTGGTAGAAAGCTGTCTTAGGTCTGAGGCTCCGTGAGAACTCCGGGTTATACACACTTCCCTTCCGTGACAACTTCTGGTTCGAGACACAGAGCACCTATGTTTTAGTGACTCTCCACTGCTGTGATAGGACACTGTGCTGAAGGCAACTTAGAGAAGACTTTGTCTGGGGCTTACAGTGTCAGAGGGTGAGACCATGACCACCATGGTGAGGGGCACGGCAGTGGGCAGACAAGCATGGTACCGGGGCAGTAGCTCAGAGCTTACATCCAGATCCACAAGTAGGAGGCAAAGAGAGCTAACTGGTAATGGTGTGGGCTTTTGAAACCCCAAAGCCCACCCCCAGTGACACACCTCCTCCAACAAGGCCACCACACCTAATCCTTTCCAAAGAGCTGCATCAACTGGGGACCAAGTATTCAAATAGATGTGCCTATGGGGGCCGATCTCATCTAAACTACCACCACATATGATCAGATGTTTATGTGTTTAGATGGTACACCAGATGGGCCCCCTCTGACAAGGGCAGCTTTTGGGGAATGACCACACAGACCCTACCATTCAGGATGACTCTGAATCTAAGATGACAAACACTTTGAAATAAAGATGATAAGATGCACATGTCATCTTTCCCTTGGGTTAAAACTTAAGAAGAATGGCCAATGTAGAACTTGCCAGAATCTGTTGTAAGAGATTCAGGCTTTGATGATTTGGCTTTGATCACTTAACTGGAGAGAAAAATCAAACCTCGAGACTAGCTTACTTTAGTAGCTGAAGTTAGAAGTGAAAGAAAGGTCTTACATTGTTCTTTGAAATTAGGGGAAAGACCCAATCTCCAGAAGGAACACAGGATAAACTCACAGCAGAGTGGGAAGCAGTGAGAAGGGAATCTCTTCCACACCTCACACTGTAGTGTCAAAATGTCTCTATGATGGGAAAAAAACAATCTCTTTAAGAGAGTCTGTATCACACTCCCAAGCATATCAAGTTCTAGCATGGGTGCTTGTATATGTTGATTCAGTGGTTCTCAACCTGTGGATCTTGACCCTTTGGGGCTTGATTGAGCCTTTCACAGGGGTCACCTAAGACCATCAAAAAACACAGACATTTACATTACGATTCACAACAGTGGCAAAATTGAAGAAGCAACGAAAATAATTTTATGGTTGGGGTTACAAAAACATGAAGAACTATATCAAAGGGTCACAGCATTAGGAAGGTTGAGAACCACTGGTTTAGATTTTATTGTTTGTGTGTGCGGTGTGTGGTGTATGTGGTGTATGTGTGTGGTGTGTGTCTGTGTGTGTACATGTGGGGGGGGCACACACATGCTATGGCACATGTATGGATGTCAAAGGACGGTGTTCAGAAGTTGGTTTTCTTCTGTGCTGGGAGCTGGAGACTGAATCCAGGTCATCGGGCTTGCAGAGCAAGCACTTTTACCCAATGAGCTATCTCACCAGCCCCGGAGTGAGTGTGTGTGTGTGTGTGTGTGCGTGTGTGTGTGTGTGTGTGTGTGTGTGTGTGTGTGTGTGTGTGTGTGTGTGTGTGTGTAT